TACACACGTACACACGTACACACACACACACACACACACACACACACTTATTTATTCATGTACACACGTACACACACACACACACACACACACACCTAGCATCCTAATACGGAGCGAGTGACACTGATCAACACTAACTTACAGTCAAAGTCAGACTGAGGACCACTTCCGTACGATTCAGGATCACTGGGGTTCGGTGGATCTGAGTCCTCCGAGTCTCCGTCGCTGTCGGTGCCCAGAAGATCTGCAATCTGAGGGGCGGAGTTTAAAGAAGAGCAGAAAGCTTCAATGTGGAAACAAGAAGAAACATCTGGACCAGCTGCTGAGATGTTGCTCATGAGAACAATATCTTCTGTGAATTAAATAATATTAATATCTCGTAGACCGGCTGCTGAAAAAAAAAAACCTCTCCCTTCAATCACAGCCCGAAGCTGTAAAAACCGTCGTTATCGTCAGATTTGAGTCTTTCCGACGGTCCTTGAACACATCACGTGTGATGAACACGAAGCTTAAATTGTGATACCTCTTAATTAAAGAACATGTTATTCTTCATGTTCTCATTATAAGTCTCTCCTCTAATAAAGAGTTCACTTTCACCAGAATGTGTAAAAACATTAAACTGTGAAACTATGAAGTCATGAAATAAATTATCAAAGAAACTCAACTTGACTGAACATCATAACTGTTGTTCTGCTCTACAGACGTGTACAGACATGTTCTCTCTACTTCTACTCACGATGGTTCTGGTTCATAGAGGAGCAGGACTTTATGTTACAGAGAAGATGAAGAGCATCAAGACTACCGTTTCATATATACCACACATGATTGATAATATCTGTAACGTAAAAGCAGGTCAACAACAATACACACAAATATATGTACAAATGAACACTTTACCGTGTGCACCTCTTGGACCACATGCAGAATCAGTTTAACCTGGGCTCGTTTACTCCGCTTAGCTTCTGCGCGAGCAAACGACCCACAATGCCACGGTCACATGCCCACGCCAACTCTGGGTGTGGCCTGTTACTTAGCGACATACATGACGAAATACGATACATTGAGGCACCACATACGGTAACATATAAACTCAAAAGAATAAACAATTACACGTCTCCTTGACAGTTACAATATCTTTAAAGGACTTTAAGGATAACTCGTTGTCAGTATTCGTGTTGAGAACATAAGTGAGGCAGATGAGCATCAGCTCGTCACCTCTTCGTCTGTAGGAGCGTTTGGTCCATCCCCGTTTTCCGGGTCGCTGTTATTGGCCAGTTCCTCTATGAGCGGGTCAGTGTCCATATCGTCATCATCGTCGTCATCGTCATCATCATCTGAGTCTGAGGAGTCATCGTCGTCCTGGTCTTCATCCTGGAGACACAACAGGTGTGTTAAAACCTCTTGGTACCGAGGGTCCCATTTAAAGGGGACCTAGAGGGGGTGCGACAGAGTACACACACGTGTACAATTCACTTTTGCGAAACGAATAAAATTATATTTTATGACATATCATATACCTATGTAATGAAAAAAGTCTGGGCAAAATCATCATACCAGCCATTTTACACACTGCAAACACAATTATCCATGATCTAATATTATATCTAGAAGATTTATCAGAAAATCAAGCATTTTTCGCCAAAAATCGGGGAACTATCCACTCCGTTTTCATTTTTCATCACAAAGCCGGCAGCTGTCATGGCGGATGGATACATGAAACAGGTGTAGGACACGACCCCGAGTCGAGTCACGCTGTCCAGATTCACCTCCGCCAAACCATTCAAAAGTTACATAAACAAAGCAACAAACAACACACAGCTCCCCAGCAAAACAAATTGAAACGCAGCGTAGCTTTTGCTGATTTTTATGCCGAAAAACGCAGCTAATCCATTGAAATTTGATGCAGCGCTATAGTCCGTCTCCTCCGCGCGCTCTCTGCATTAAAATGAACAAGCTGGGACCTTCTCTGAAGAAATGGTCAGCATGTTCCTGCTAGACCAATGGATTTCACGCATGGGGGTTGTGCCAACTATATCGAGATTTTGAGTGGCTAAAAGGCTGTCAATCTTCAAAATAAACCGCGGACTGCTTTCGTTACTCTCTTCCGCGTTCAACACGGTGTCACATGATGAAATCCGTCAATCACAGGCCTTACCAAGGCTTAAAGATATGACAGCTGAACATGGCTGAAAATGATGCCAAACTGCTTTATTACGATGTATTGAACACTCTTAGTGATAAAGCAAGTGAATATGTAGTTAATATATAGTTATATAGTATATAAAATTAGAATAGAGCAGCACAAAAGCTGGTTCCAAAAGTGAGAATTTGGCTTGAAACTCTGTACTCGGACCTTTTATGCTGGCCTGCTTCACTCAATCTAAGTAAAATTAGCTTGGAGAGACCACAAACATGTTGTGCTATGACTGTGGAGTATTTTTAGGCTTGTATCTGCATTATTTCAGATAAATATTTTCAATAAAAGTGCTTTTTTTTCCAGGCGAACCTGAACCTTTTCAATTTGAGTTATGTGCATCTTCATTCACTATTAACCAGTAACATATACACAATATTTACACATCTGAACAAGTGTATCACAAGTTTTACCTGTATTATACAATCACAAAATTATTAAAATAGACCTTGTAGTTATAGAATTACAGTCTTTTTAGTATCGGTATGCAATTCTCGAGCAGAGGCCTAAAAATAGGGCTAGTGTTAAAGAGGTTTTAATATGCTCAGAGAAAAGAAAGACGAACACAAGCATGTCGTCTGCATACAAACACTAGGCTGTGATGCCGCACGCTTTATTATCTATTACATTCTGACGTTGTGTTTCCAAAGCTCAGTCGCATGTGGAATAAATGCACTTCTTCTTCTTGTTGCATTTTGAATGTATTGTGTTTTTACCACACTGTATTTAAGAAGTGGACGCAGTCGTTGTGACGTTTGTGGAGTGATGTTTAGAATCCTTGAATTCAGGATTACGGCCGTCTCCATCTTGTTTTTATCAACCAGTGAACAGGAAGTGACCATATCTGGACTGAGGA